AAGGCAATGACTAACCATGATCCCAGAAGAACAATGAAGCATGCTATCTGTCTCTTGATAGGGAGGGCACAAACTCACGATAAAGAATTTAACAACATTTTTTTTTTGGAAGGGGCCAATCAGTACCTATTTGTTAAGTGGGTTTTTTTTTCCTTTTTTCCAGTGGGGGAGAAAATTCATGATGATTTTAAAAGCAATGAGTTTTTCTCATTGATTGTACAATTGTATTCATCTTTATTTCTCTATGTGCATAGTCAAACTGATCAACAAGGGTTTACTATCTATCATTCACTATGTGTCTGACACCATGCTAAGCACATAGATGTTCAGAAAATTCTTGAAGAAATGAATGAATCAAATTGTATTGAATAGAGGGCTTGTCATCAGCTATGTGATCGTGAAAAATGAGGGGGGTTGGACTCACCTCTAAGGTTCCTGACAGCTCTGACTCTAAGATCCTAGGAACCAGTGAATTGAGCCTTCCTGTCCTTAATTTCAATTAATCACTATAAACTGTGCTTTCTACTATTTGGAACCCTTGGGGATAGGGAGGGGGAGTGAGGGGTGGGGGGAAGGCAGAGCTGAAGCAAAAGAGGGATTCAGGAGCTGGGCAGGGCTCAAAAATGTTCCCTGAATAGAATAAAGGGCAGGGACTTGGAATTCTGCTATTGAAGAGACAACCAGACCAGATAACCTGACCCTTCTAGCTCTAAATCCAATGATTCTCTAGCTTCTGCTTTCTCGGCCTCTTGACCTGGAAAATCCCACCCTTCCCCTGTTGTCTGATTCTCTTGGAAGTTTTTTGGGGTCAGTAGGAATTCCAATGCCCAGATCCTGAGATCCCAAATGAATGTAAAATAATAATGATGATGATAATAATGAGAAGGAAATAAAATCGAAGCCAACCCCAAAGGAACACTGCAATTTTGAGTCAAGCCAGAACTCAAGTTACTGGAATTCAGCAAGCAAGCTGGCTTTCCTTGGACTGTTGTAACCACCATCCTACAGTTAGACAAAAACACATCTGGTTTGACTTCTTGTTCCTCATTTCCCCCTTCCCCCCAATACTAACCCCTCAAGTTTTTCCCGTAAGTTGGTAACGCACAGAGAAATGCAAATAAAGGCTTACATATCACACAGAGGCTAAGAATTACAACATGGAAAACTTGAGTGTTTCAGGAGCAAATGTGTTCATCAAGTCAAGTCATGAAGGGATGGGTGATGGGGATAAGCAGGCACCACCATATAGGAGCCAGAGAATAGGCCCAGCACCAGTGTGTGGTCTCAACCTGACAGCCCCCAAGACCTTGGATATAAGGAGCAATGAATGTCAGGATCCTGTCTAAAGATCAAGGGGGGGGAAATAAGAAAAAAAGGGGGGGGAATTCCAGATGTGCACATGCACTGTCAGGCCAACTCAGCATTCCTGTGGCAACCTCTTAATTTCCCTACTGAGAATCTGAGTTCTTTCTCTTCCTTTCCCATGCTTCAGGTTTTACACAAAGAGGTTGGGGAGGTGGGGTGGGTAATAAAGACTGATCCTGGTATACCTGAGCATTCCGTATGCTGCCTTAGACACCCTACTAGCTATGTTACCCTAGGCAAGTCACTTAATCTCCATCTGCCTCAGTTTCCTCATGGTGAATTGGAGGGGGGGGGCTCAGACTTAAATGGCCTTCCTTCAAGTCATCCATCCAGTTAAGACTATAACACCACCTTTTCCACACTGACCCTGGTGCTCTTTCTATTATGCTTTTATTACCTCATAGAAGGGAGGGAACTTGATATGATTGCCCAACTAAAGCTTTGTTGACCACCCCCCCATCCTTCTCAGCAAGCTACATTAGCCTTGCTGAAACCTCCTTTAAAGATGAGAAGCAAATAAGCCAAACGCCATCATTCAGGGGTTGGGGTGGTCAGGAGACCTTACTCTGTGGGCAAACTGGGCCCTGGGCTCTGCTCATCTACATTTTAGCTGCCTTATTGCCTATTAGCATCTCCAGGAATGGGGAGGAGGCAGGAAAGTCAGATGCAAAGGTGATCTAATGAATTACTTGTAAGGCTGAAACCCAGCCAAACATCATTAAATAAAGTAGAGGTAAGGGAGCTAGAAAAGCAATATCTTGTATGAGCTGGAGAAAAAACCAAATTGTAGAGTGTGTGTCTCTGTGTGGGGGGGGGTAGTTTCATGATTTTTTTAAGGCTCGGACACTGAAGAGACAAATGGAGATCAGTCAATTCATGAAGCCATTACTGAAGGATTCCTGATAGGTCTTACTTTAAAATTGGAATTTCTAACTTGAGTGCTCAGAGTTCCAAGGATTTCTACTTAGAAGACCCTTAGGGGGCAGTGGAAGTCAGGAGGTAAAAGGGCATGGGCTTTAGAGTCAGAGGGGGCTGGCTTCAAAACTGCCACTTAAGGTCTGTGTGAACTTAAATCTCTCAGGACCTCGGATGACCTCAATTGTAAAATGGAAGCACTAGACTGAGTTCCCTTCCAGCTCTAGCTTTCTTATTCTAGTCTAACCACCTTGGAGAAAGCACAAGATTTAGGTGAAGAGATTGGTCATAGAGTTAGGAATTCGAACCTAGGTCTGGATTCCGACTGTAGTGCTTTCCACTCAATAGGAATCCTCTCCAATGGATGCTGACTTCTTGCGTGTTGAATATTCAATTAGCCTCAGGGGCTGTAGGGAAGTGGGAGAAATCAGGAAAATCAGGGAGCAGAAAAGAACTTCCAATCCTGGAGCTGAATTGTGTCAGAACATTTAGCCTAACTCTATACCTCAACCGAAATCCCCTCAGAGCCAAAATACAGCATGAGTTGCCCCGTCTCTGCTTACAAATCAAATGAATGAAATTTTACTACATCACCCAGTAACATGCTCTTGACCTGGTTTCTCCATGCCAACTAGCTTAGACCATCTCATTTGGCACAAGACTGTCTGAAAGAATTCAGTGGCAGAAGTTGTTTCCTTAGCTTGCTCCTGGTTCAAAAAACTCCAGGCTCCTAAATGAGGGTTTGCTGAGTTCACTTTTAGGTCTTTGGCCATTCAGGGTATAGAGGTTGGGGTAAAGTGTTGGGGGGGGGAAGGGAGGAGGGTGGTGAAGCATTGAAAAGGATGGAGGATGAGGGAGGACAAATGTTCAGGCAACAGAATTGCCAGAATTAACAAGGGAGAAGGACTGTAAGGCTGGCCTGGCAAGCATAAACAGGGTAAGACAGTAAGGTTCAGGAAGGAGGAGGGGATCATGGAGAGACACAAAGGGGGTTCCAGACGTAGGGAAGCACCCATTCTTTATCAGCAGTCTCTTTCCATTCCCTCAATCAGATAGATGGCCAGAAGGGAAGACGGCACCTGTTGGTGGGGGAACTTCTCTAGAAAACTAAGAAGAAGAGTTTTTAGGACCTGCTCTGGCTCTAGGAGCCCTGGGCCCTCAGCAACAAGAATTTATTGAGCTCCTACTGTATGCCAGGAACTGGGATTTGGGGACACATAAAAAAATTACCCAATCCTTTCTCTCAAAGAGCTTACATTCTAAAGGACAGAATGGGAAGAGCCTTGGATTTAGAGTGAGAAGACCTAGGTTTGAATGCTGGCTCTATAGTCTAAGAGACAAGTGACTTTCTACTTTACACACACACACACACACACACACACACACACTATGAGCTCCATTTCCAACCCACCTCTACTCCATACTTATTTACTGATATCTCCACCCTCAGATCAAATCAGATAGTGGTTCCGGCTAACTAGATACTAAATACCTTTGTTTCTAGGCTGTCCCCTACTCTTTGAATTTCAACACCCTGGGTCACTAAATAAAATCTGATTCTTAGTTTCTTCATCTGTGAAATGGGAGTAATATTTCTAGTATTCACATTATACAGTGTTGTCATGAAAAGTTCTGTATCGGTTATCCTTATATTCCCAGCTTTTTCTTAGGATGGTGACTATCTAGACTAATATACAATATATGGACTGGAGAGGTCTTAGCACATAGAATGTCAGAGCTGGAAGGGACATTAAGCCATTCTCTGATCCAATCCTCTCAATTTACAGATAAGGAAACTGAGGCCCAGTCTCTCTGGGAATAATATGCCAAGAGGTTGGTTGAAAAACTCAGGGGAGGAGGATGGGGAAGGAGGAAGGAGGAGGGAGAAGAGGTGGCTGTCTAGAGCCATGAGTTCATCTTGGCCCTACCTCCCAAGGTAGCCTTAGGGAAGGTCCTATTCCCTCACGGTTTGATCTCTTCCTCCTGTTGTAGCCCTAGACACAAGATGATCACTATCACTGGTTCCAAAATCTAGAGCTAGTAAGGATCTTAGAGGTCATCTAGTTCACCCTCTTTATTATACTGTACTTTCTCTCACAGCTTTTTCCCATCGAGGGACTTGGGACTCATTTGGGGACAAATGAGATCACTGTGCCTTCTCCTACAACCTGCTTTTGGAAGCACCGGTGACCCCCACGGGGTTGATTGAGTGTAGCGGGAAAAGCCCAGCGTCTGAGTCGGTGGATCTCGGTGTGGATCCCGGCTTTGCTACTTACTCTCTGGGCCTCAATTTCCCTAACTGCAAAGTCCAGGAGGTGCCCCAGCTAACCGCCAGGGTCCTTTCCAGCTCTGCTCTCCCACGGTGTCTGGCTCTCAATCCTAGACCTCGCCGGCTCACACTCCCTGCGGCTATCTTCAGACTCCCCCCACCCCTCCTACGCTTCCTCCTGACCTTATCCTCCCCTCTGACAGTCTCGGGCGGTCCCTGCCGTCGCGTGGCCACCACAACACCGCCTAGCATCGCCCCTCCATCCATTCTTTCCAGGGAGACACACACACACACACACACACACACACACACACACACACACACACACACCACACACGCACGCACAGCCCAGGCCACCCGTCCGTCACTGAGTAGAGGTGCTCAAACTTCCCAAGAGGCCTGGATGGACAGGGATGGGGGCTGCAGCGTGCAGCCTGCTCCCGCGTCTTACCTGTTCTTGCTAGAGATGGACGCCGACCTTGGGCGTTAAGAGTTGAACTGAACTGGGAGCCCGGAGTCCTGGGTTCGGAGTTCAAAGTCCCCCTTCTCGCTGGATTGCACGCAAGAGCAGATGACCCCAATCCGGGCTCCCCTGCAGCTTTTAAAGGCAGCAGTCCCAGGGGATGGGAAAGCCGCGCGGCCCCTCATCACCCTTCCCCTCCGCCCCCTCCTCCGCCCCCTGCCCGCCCCCAGGCTGGAGGGAGGTGGAGGAGGAGGACAAGGAGGACAAGGAGAATGAAGAGGAAGAGGAGAAGGAGGAGGAGGAGGAGGAGGAGGAGGTGGAGGAGGAGGACGAGGTGGAGGAGGAGGAGGAGGAGGAGGAGGAGGAGGAGGAAGAGGAGGAGAAAAGCCCGGGAGCTGTCCGAGCCACGCGGCTCCCAGTGCCCCCTGCCGACCAGAAGCAGGGGTGGCGGGCCGGGGAAGGCTGGCTCTGAGCCCCGGCCAGCCTCCTGTCTGGGTCCTTCCCAGGGCTGTCGAGACGCCCGCGCACCTCACCCTCCATCCTGTCGTAGGACCCTGTCTCCTGCCTTAGCCCTAAGCCCCTTCCCTTCGCCTCATTCTACAACCCACACTCCACTCGTGGCCATCTCGTGCTCCCCCCCCCCCCAGGTCTTTCAGAAGCCACTAGTGTGGGAATGAGGGTTAAGTGAATCAAGTCGCAACTCCGCACTAGGCTATCTGTGAGACGCGGGCAAATCAGTTCACCTCGATATTCTCTAGGATCTCTCGCGGCCTTAAATCACATGATCCTCCCCCCCCACCTCCTTCTTGCTCTAGCCCCTTTTCTGCCTATTAACAACCTCCGACCTTTCCTCCCCTCCCAATTCGGATGCCTCCCTCTCAATGATCCTGCTTCCTTCCTCCTCTCAGCTTCCCTCAGCCTTCTCCCCATTTCCTTCCTCTTTTCTCTCCCCCTTCATTTCATCACCACCCTTCCTTGGAGAAGTTTTGGGGAAAGTTGGAGAGAAGAAAGAAGAAAGAGAGGACCTGCAAACCAGGGCAACCCCCTCCCCCAAACTAAAGGCTCTTTCTTCCCTCTGTGGTATTAAGAGAGGGAAATCATAGATTTAGAGCTGGTTAAAGGTCACTGAGTCTGATTTTACCGATAAGGAAACAGGTCCAGGAAGGTCGAATGATTTGGCCGGTCACACAGCTAGTCGGTGACGGAGGCAATATTCAAACCTAAGTCTTCCTGACTCCAAATACAACACTCTAGTCCCCTGTATCAGGTTGCCTGGAGTAAAAGCGTGTAAATCACAGGATGTTAGGGCTGAGTGAGGCCTTAGACAATAGAATGTTTGATGCAGAAGGCACTTTCGAGATGACCATGTTTAGTCCTCATTTTACAGACAGTTCAGAGACCCAGTGAATTACCCAAGGTCAAAGAGTTAGTAACCAGTACAGGGATTATGGTATGATACACGTGGAAACTGAAGTCTAGAGAGGTTGATAACGATAGCATGTGTATATAGCTTCTATGGTTTGGAATTTTGTTGTTCAGTTGTGTCCAACTCTTCGTGATCCCATTTGGGGTGTTCTTGAGCAAAGGTACTGGAGTGGTTTGCCATTTACTTCTCCAACTCGTTGTTATAGATGAGGAAACTGAGGCAAACAGGCTTAAGTGACTTGCCCAGGGTTACACAGCTTCTAAGTGTCTTTGGTCTTACTGACTGGGGGTGGGTTCCGAGACAGGCAGGCACCTGGGGGAAGTGGGGGGGGCACTCTATCCACTGCATCACATACCTTCTCTTATGGTTTAGAAAGCACCTCACAAATATCTTATTTTACCGTCACAACAACCATGGGAGATAGGTGTTCTTATTTTCCCCATTTTACAGATGAAGAAAGTGAGGCACTGATAGGTAAAGTGATTTGCTTAAGGTTACACGGCTAAGTAGTTAGAGGTGGAATTTGATGGCCAAGTCCCACTTGGAGTCCAGACCCTTCCAAGGCACAAAAGCTTTGTGCTGTCCTAGGTACTAGCCTAATGCCTTCCTTACTCAGTTGGCCGTGTTTGTTGATTGATCAGTGATAAATAGAAATTCTCCAACAAAAGCTGAGGGTTCATTGTTGAATGTTAGGAAGGAACAAAGTTGAATTGCTAGGTAGCGAGGATATAACATCCTGTTTCTAGTGGAGAAGAGCCCTAAAAGGTCAAAAATACAACTCCTTGCTCCTGATTTAATTCTCTTTCCATCGCAACAAAGATTGTTTTTGTAAAAACCTTAAAATGTCAGAACTGGGAGGGGCCTTAGAATAGTGAACACCAGCTGGGAGGGACCTTAAAGAGAACTTTAGAGCAAGAAGGATCCTTAGACAGCACTTAGCTCAATTGATGGTCCACCAGCCCTGGAGTCAAGAACTGAATTCAAATCCAGCCTCAGACACTTAGCTGTGTGACTCGGGGCAAGTCAAGACCTCAATTTCCTCCTCTGTAAAAAATGAGGACAATAATAACACCTGCCTCCAAGGGTTTTTATTAAGATCAAACAAGATAATAATTGTAAAGTCTGTAGATTTATATAAGTGTCTGATGCTTAGTAAAAGCTGTATGAATGTTAGCTATTGTTATTTGGTGAAGTCTGTTTAAAAAGTTAGAGAGACATAGTTTCTGGGTAATTAATCATTTTACTTAATAATGTTAGCATTTTATTAATAAAAAGGAATGGTCATTTCACTATGAACCTCTTCGCAGAATATTATTTTTCAATAGTTGAAATAAATGCTTAATTTCAGTTTTAGGTTAATGAAAATAAAGATGCAATTTCTATGTTGTCTTCTCATTAGAATATAAGCTCCTTGAGGGAAAGGACTTGGTTTTTTGCCTTTCTTTGCATCCCCAGTGCTAAGCCCAGTACTTGGCACACAGTAAGCCCTTAATAAATGCTGGTTGATTATTTCCCGTTTAACATTATGGACCCCAAGGAATCTATCCAAGGACCCCTTTTAAGAAACCTTGATCCAATCCAACCTCCTAATTTAACTAGGGCCCAGGGAAGTAAGGTGATTTGCTTCAGGTCAAAGCTAGTAAGTGATACTAAATCAAAGAGTGACTAGGAACTTCTTGTACCAATCCTCCTGGTGGCTTTTGTCTAAAGCCAGATGATTGAACAGGCAAACCGACTGCCTTAGTCCCAGCACTTACCCTTGGTTAAACACCTCAGTCAGTCAATAAGCATTTATTAAGTACCTATTTAGTGCCAAGCACTGTGCTAAGTGCTGGGGATACAAAGAAAGTCAAAAGACAGCTCCTGGACAGCATCCTCCCAATTCGGATGCAATGGAAAGAGCACCAGCCCTGAAGTCAGGAGGTCCTGAGTTCAAATATGGCCTCAGACCAAACACTGGACACTTACTAGCTGTGTGACCCCGGGGAAGTCACTTAACCCCAATTGCCTAAAAATAAAAAATAAGATAGTTCCTGCCCTCAAGGAGCCCTTAGTCGAAAGAGAAAGGCAATTTGAAAATAATCATGTGCAAACAAACTCTATACAGGATAGATAGGAAATAACCTAGAGAGGGAAGGCACTAGAATTAAGGGGGATCAGGAGAGGCTTCCTGCAGAAGGTGGGATTTTAGCTGGGACTTGAAGGAAGCCAGGAGGCAGAGTGAGAAGGGAGAGCATTCCAGGCATGGGGACAGCCAGTGAAAATGCTCAGAGTAGGGAGATAAACTGGCTTGTTCATGGAGCTGCAAAGAGGCCTTTGTCACTGGATGGATGAGTATGTGGGAGTGGAGGATGGGATTGTAGAGGAGCCACAGAAGTTTATTGAGTGGGGAGAGGGAGGGATGTGATGACACCTGTGCTTTAGGAAAATCCCTTTGGTGGCTAAATGGAGGGTGGATTTGTAGAGACTGAAAATGAGTGTTAACCCTCTTGATTTGATTGAGCTTCCTACCATCCAGGAGAAGGTGAAAGTCTGGAAAACTCAGAATCAGCCAACTAGAGCCTTCCTCCTGATTGGCATACCAGTGATCCTTTGTGAGACTGTTGTTGAAACCACAAGGCTGAACTTGTTACCGGGTGCTTGTACCTAGAAACTGCAAGGCTGCTGCTGGAAATTATGTAGAATATAGTAACATCATAGCTTTTAGCTTCAAATACTCTGATATAATCCCATCCCAGAGAATCCTCAGACTAGCTCTGTGCAGTTTGGCTTGCAAGCTTCTCTGGCAATAAAATTCTGTACAGTTGAATCACCTCTGACTCTGGACTATTGGTTTTTGGTCCCTTCCAGGGCTCAAGATTGGGCCTGGGAAGGTTCTGTTCAGTCACCCGCTGCCAGATTGGATTGGGGAGTGACTTGAGGCAGGCAGACACCCTTCTCCTTTCCCCCTTCCCCAGCAGCTATTGCAATAACCCAGGTGAGGTGATGAGGGCCTGCACTAGAGAGGGGGCAGTGTCCCAGGACAGAAGAGGACAGAGTTGAGAAATGTCACAAACATGGACAGACTTTGGCCAAGCTTAGATATGGGGAGTGAGAGAGAGTGAGGAGTCCAGGATGACTCCTAGGTTGGGAACCCGCTGTTGTCTGTCCTTCATTCTGAAAGAGGGGATGCCACGACATGCAAGTGAATTGGATCGAAGCGAGGCAGGGCTGTGCAGTCAACAGCCTCACTTTCTCCTCCAGAGCCATCTAGGTCCAGTGGCAAGACATAGATCAGGAGGACTGGAGGTGGCCCTGGTTGGGAGCCTGAGGGACTGGGAGGTTGAGGGTGCCCTCTCTAGGAATAGAGAAGGTAGGAGGGGAAGGAGGGCTTAGTGGGAACTCACTGCCGACACTGGATGGGAAACTATCAAGGTGGGGACATTCTGAACCATGCGTTTTTATGCTCCTTAGTAGAGCCCCCAACAGTCCTTGGGATCCATTTTTGGATTTGTTGGAATTTCTGCTGAGCTCCTGGCACAGTGGATTTGTAGAATGACGATAGCCCTGGAGTCAGAGGGCCTTGGCTGTATGCCTGGCTTTGCTGCTAACTGAAAAACCAGTGAAGGTCCCCTTGAAAGATAATCCAACCTATCTTCTGCCTCATGGCAGAGAAATGGGGGGCTACTAGGAAAAATACTGTATACACTGTCATTGTGGTTATTGTGTTGGGTATTTTTGCTTAATTGTTAGGGGAAAAGTATTTATTAAATGCCTCCTGTGTTCTGGGTAC